CTATCTCAGCTTTTTCCAAGGCATTCTGGGTATTGGGCGACTGCTGCTCTCCGGGAGCAAGCCCATTGGTTACATTTTCAACTGCAGCTTCCATGAATTCAGACATTGCATGAGCTGATTTCTCAACATCTTTAGTATCTGATCCATGCATGCTCAATCCAGCTCCTCGAACTTCAAGAATCCAAGTATCAAATCCTTGACCACACATGTAACGGGCAAATGAAGACTGCAGAAAAATATTTTAGAACATAGCATAATTGTTAAATTAATCGTATCTTTTTGACATACTGTTAGTTTTTTCAATACTTTAGCTTAATTTTTGAGGACATGCAAAGAGAAATAATAGATCTCATCATTTATCTTAAAAGAAAAAGAAAAAAAAAAGAATTTATATCTATACAGATAGATACTTATGATCCATTCATAGGATAACTCCCAACTAAATCTTGCCTCCAGTTGAGGACTGTTTCAGGAACTGACCATTCCTTTCAAAAGTTTCCAATGCACAAGAGGGAACACAAGATTAGGCCAAGAGGACTCCTAAACTACTTCTGTATAAGAACAAGGAAAAGTGGAAAACACTTGCATAATTATTTCATAAAGATTAAACTAAAGCTGGTTGTTTTCCTTCCTCTTTTTACAGATGGCAACTAAAACTTTTCCTAAACATGTAGAGAAGTGATATAAACTAACCCCAGGAGAAAGATCATATCCAATGGCATTTGTTCCCACACCAGACAACAGCAGCAGAGGATGCTTACGTGGCGGTGCCTGTTTTCAAACAATTCAAACAACAAACTTAAATAATTTTTCTTTCATATAACAGCAATAGTCACTTGTATCCCATAAAAAGAGAACAATTTTCTCCAAAAAAGATAGCCTAATGTTAAGATCACACTTGATTATACAAACAAGCACAGAATCTCAAAGTTTGATTATCCCCGTCAGTAACACGTCCAAAAATTTACAGAAGCTCATCTATAATTGTATAAAACGTAGTCTCCAGCAACGTGTGCATAGAAGCTTACTCTGCTCATCAAGTGATAAATTTCTACCTGGATCATGAATTATCTAACGCGATTTATACAAAGAAAATCACAATAGCTCATTTCACACCGCCTCGGCGGAAAAATTGCAACCTGGCCCATGAATTAGCAAAATATGCATTTATGTATGTAAATGTGAAAAGGGGGAACCTGAGGAGAGGGAGTGTAGCGCCAGAGGGCGAGGCGCCAGCCGGAATTGTTGACGGAGACGTAGTGGAGCTCGTCGGCGGTGCATATAGGCGGTTTGTTCGGTAGTTTCTCGGCATCAGCGATTATTTCATCTTGAGTATCGTTGGTTGAGAAGGCTCGGGTTCTTGCTGTGGAGGTGTTCAGGGTGAGCGAGCGGCCGAATGCGGCGGCGCGTGGGAGCGAGAAGCAGTTACGGAGGAGATGGTGTCGGCTGCGGCAGATGGTGGAGGAGGCGAAATGAATCGCCGGATTGATGTTGGATTGAGTGATTACCATTTTTATAATTTATCAATTGATCAGTTTGTACTTCGTTTTATGTGAAATTTGATGTTGTGGAGACTTTTACTTGTTTGTTTGATTCCTTCTGTGCGGGGTTTTCGAATTTCGCCAGTAGACTGTAGAAGGTAAGGAATTTGGATAAAATGACAAGTCACGTAGCCTCTTTTAAAGAAAAAAACTAGTTAGACGTGTATAGTTGACTACTTAACAGCGTGGTTGTGAAAGCTTAACTTAGCAAACGAACTCAAATGTCCAAAATTCCTCATACGTCACCGCAAAGCAATGAGTTCAACCGGAATCATCGCGAGCCTTCCAGAATGGGGTCATTGACCCAAAATGGACACTGGATGCAAAAGTTACGTCATTTTCTTCCAAATATTAATGGAAAGTAAATTATTGTGAAAGTTCAGTAAGTTTTTCATGTAACATAATAATTAGTAAAATTTCATAATGATAATATTCTAGTAAGATTTAAATGAAAATTTTTTGGTAGCCAAATTTTTTTCTAAGGAAGAATTTAATGGGGATAATATTAATCTTTCTAAANGATTGCTAATATTTGACAACTCATATTTGTCTTATGTACCAAAATATTTATAGTATCCACTAAAGGATTGTGAGATTTTATAATTTTTATTAATGTTTTTGAATTAAATCATTAATAAGTGAAATTGTATTTAGCTTTTGTAAAATGTAAGCAAAAAATTTTGATTTTGTGTATGTATGAAATAAAGCAAAAAAAAATTTAAAAAAAGAAAAGAATAAAAAACTGAAGGAAAAAAAAACTTGTGTAGAAGCATGAGCCCCGCATTATGCGGAGCAGTGCGACATGCTCCGGAACCGTGCGGAGCATTCTTCGCATTGTGCGGGTGCTGCTATGCACGGCCGCTCCAGAATTATTATTATTTTATGATAATTAATTAATGCTAATGAGTTTATTATATTCAATTTTGGGATTATTTTGATATTCTATCAAAAAAATTTCCATACAAAAACTCACTTTAACCTTATATATACATTCAATATAATCAAACTAAACCAAATGAAAAAATGTTTATTTTGAATTCGGTCCGAGTCATTTCACACATGAAATAAGTTTAGGCTGAACTCATTTCAAGTTATACAACTGAAATTAGTATACACAACAAGAGAAGTGTAAATATTCCCAAATCAACCAAGTAATCTTCAAATATATCCACAACAACTTCCTCTAATCCTTGTGAAAGCATTAAAAGCAAAAATCAAACGAAAACTTAATCTTGCGAGCTAGATGAACGTAAAGGTAGTACAGACTTATAGGAAAGACACTTTTAAAAAGAGTTCTTACTATGGGAAAAAGCATACTTCAATGATGCAGTGGCAGTGTTACAAATCTTCTAGATTTAATATTTGTAGCATATGAATATGGAGAGACGATGACAGTAAAAAACTTTGGAAGCACGAAAATGAATATGGTGATTTGTGTTTATGATTGTGAAGAAGTTATTAATTTTAATTGTTTTGCTTCTCCAAATATATATACACGCACAAAAGATGTATCATCTACGAAAAATATTTCATGCTACTAAAAATTGTCTGAGGGTCTTTGTTTGATGTAAGATTCTATAGTTTGATAGTTAGCCGTGTTCTTCTCTTCCTTCCCTGGTAGTTAGGATAGAGTTGTATTTATCTTGTTACGTCCTGTTTAGGGGTATTGATGTGAGGAAAATTCAATTGGACATTCTATGAGACAAAATTGAAATAAATATGCATTACACCTATTTGATAGATGGTTTGCATTACTATTGATGCAAAAATTTACATTCGAATAACCAATGTATGGGAGAAAATCATTATTCTAAACTTCATATAGATTCTAACCAATTTTTGAAGAAGTAATATATATAAAAATAAATACATTCATAAGCATTATAGATAACATATTTAGGAGGCAAACAAGCTCAAAAATAACATTTTCAAGAGGAAAGCATCATCTATACATTTCAAAACCATCAGACTTCATTATTCAAAACTATTACAGACTTCATCATAGGTAATAAAAAAATCTATCAAACTGGATTAATACAAATATCAACCTAATCAAAATTCAACAAAGTAAATTAAGTTACTAACATTTCCAAAGATTCCAGTACATAAACATAATCTACCAAATTGGATTAATAAAAACTCAACTGAATCAAAATTCAACAAACTAAATTAACCTACTAACACTTCCAAGGATACCAATACACACATACAATCTACCAAATGGAGTAATAAAAACTCAACCACAAGAAAATTCAACGAAAGTAAATTCATCTTCTACGGGCTACTCAAATAATTTTAACTAATACATAAATTGAAATCCAACAGAACTTCACATGATTCCAAAATAATAGTAAATGTGTGGCAACATTTAAAGTACAAAGGATGAATGGAAGTTGTAGACATTGATTTAGCTTGAACTTATACAAAAATTCAATAAAGTTACAAGCTACAAAAGTACATAACTGTGACTATTTCCCCGGAACTAAATATGTACAACATTTTGACTACAAAATATAGGGAAATTTGCACTTGAAACCATCAACTTCTAAGCTTATTCTTCATGGGAGTAATTATAGACATGTGCTACAAAATAGAACATAGTTGTTCATTCAGGAGTTATAATGGCAAAATGAGCAAAACTAACTTCCTGGATGTAGCAATTATATTGTCTACAAAAATATATGATGATGAGCAAAATGAGCAAAACTAACTTCTAGGTTGTAACACTTATAGTGTCTACAAAAATATATGATGATGGTTAGTCAAGCTTTCTCTTTGTTGTGACTTGATGAACTGTAGAACTGGAGGTAGCATTGTTTTTTTCAGCTACTATATTGGGAAGTACTGGGTTCACTGGCTTAGCTAATGTTTTGAAGAGCACTCGTTTTGTAGATGGTGTAGATGTTTCTTCACTCTGAGAATTTTTGTTTTCTTCAGCAAAGTCGAACGAGATTTTATCTTTCTCAGCAGTTTGGTGTTTCATTGCATCTGTAATTGTAGGAACAAATATGATTTCATATTTATACTGAGTAGTGTTCTGTTCCAGCTAAGTAACTTTGATGTAAAAAATGTATTCTTCTTCAGTGTCTAGTAGGGTCATCGCAGCACTGGATGGATCAATTTCCTGCTGAGAATAAAGATGCAAAATCGTTATTTATATATATGTATGATTTAGAAGTTGAAATGATGTGGCATGGTTATTATAATCATTTCTTACTGCTTTTGTAAAATTCATCAGATTATCAGCACTATGCTTCAGTATTATCTCTGCAGGGTCTCCAATTGCACCTGCATCTAAAGTTCCACTTGCATCTTCCAATCGGACAGTAGTATTTGCTCTATGGAAATGGGAATAAGTATATTTAAGTTTAGTAGAGAATGATTAAAATGTATGAAAGTTTGAGGTTAGTGATTGGAATAAATTGTAATAAGTGTTACCTTGGTACAGCTTCGCAGTAGGATGTTTGCAGTAAATACACAAGAAAATTTCATGGAAATCAGCATTGATTTTATTACAATTGTTACAAGACATATACCAAAAAGTTTGTTTTGTTGTTTTGATGGATGGTCTAGCTTTGATCCAATAATACTTCCGCTGTTGAGAAATGTGATATTTAGATTAAAAAATAAGTAAAATGTCTCTGTAAAAAATAGGATGAATAGACCATAAATATGTATGTAATGAATTAAAATCAGTTACACCTAGTAGTCTTCCTTCTAGGTTTTGTATATCTGTAAATTTTCTGTGTGGGGTAGGAGATAACTTTGTGGGAGTCACTATCTGATTTGGTTTCTCCAGTGCAATGTTATTCAATTCTTCGTTATGTGCTTCAACCCTAGCATAAATGTTTATAGAGCAGTAGAACGTGAATACGTAGTTAATAGAGATTGTTGTGACATATTCTTTTTATTGTACAGATTTCTTATACGTAGCATTTTCTCAATTCTGCTACTTCGTTGAAACTAGCATCTATGAAAAAAGTGCTATTGATTTTGGTTGACAGTGTAAGACTTGTAGCATGGCTTAAACATTAGTTTCTTATCTGTATAGAAGTATACTACTTTACATGAGTAATTAGAAACTGTACAGTATGTATAATAAATTCTACCATTGAATAACGAAACTTTCAATCGGTTAGCCAAAATGATAGGTTTTTGGGCAATGTTTTCTGCAATTAGAACACATTCATTTTCTACATAGTTATCCCACATTGTTAAAACGATTGTGTGGAATGTTTTATCTATTAGGAAAATATCATGCACATAAGTTTGGTTTCCAAACCGAGTTTGAATGAGTCTTTTTGACCGTATGTCAATAGCCACAGCAAGTATGCCTGTAAGAAGTTATTTGTCAAAAGTTCTGTTTAAAAGTTAAAAATTATGTGCACGTGTGTTTTTGAATTACATGAAGTAAAAATGTAAGTTGTAAAAAAGTAGAAGAAATGATTGGTTAGAAATTAATTATATCGCTGTTGGAATCCATATGTTTTTCCAGTTTTGGAAAAGAAGTGAAACTGAATGTGGAAAACAAGAATTCCATGTGGTTTTCATCCATTTCTTGAATGTGTGTCTTCCTAGATACTATCCATTGGACATTACCATTTGATGCTCTGTACTCAGGCTTTGTGCCTTTAACAAGAGCATTTGAAATAACATACGTTTTGCTTAGTTGGAGCTGATCTTCAAAGACTATAATATTGGCATCATACAGTGTGCACTATGTTCCCATGTGGTCGTTTTGAATGGAAATGAAAACAAATGGTTGTGTTTTAGGAATCTCTATAGAAGCAAAAGAGTTATAAATTAGATTTATTTAAAGAAATATGTTTACCTGAAGATCCATTAACACCATATTTTGATATCTGCTGGTACTATGTCTTGCCTGTTTTGGTGAGAATTTTTCAACAACGATCACTTTTGCTTGCCGTTCTTTTCGTTTGGATTAATCTGTAGGATGAACTTGAAGTTTG